TGGCTTGGTAAAGCAATAAGTGCTATAAAAATACTTGCTGAAAAGAAGTAGGTTATTAAATATTATCTATTTGTTTTAATATCTCTTCAAGTTCAGATACCATTTTAGATATAATATCAGTATTATCAGTGGTATTATGTGAAAGCACTTCTGACTCTGTCTTAGTAGAGACTACACTTGTTTTGCCTGTTTTCTTTTTCTGACTATTTTTTTAAGTGGTAAGGCAAGTGGAAAGGAATTTGCAAGAGAATATTCTCTCTCAAGATCTTCCACATAAAAGCTTGTAGAGAAGGTGGTTTCTATAGAAACCTGGAACCTAATCTAGCATTAGAAATATTAGCTATTGGCTGATTTCAGGTGATTCTATTAGCTTCCTCACCTCTCCAAATCTGATATATGTATTTCATTAATGTATTATACTTGTGCATTAATTTCTCTAAAACTTTTTTTCTTGGCTTTTTATTTTCACATTGTATAATAAAATCATAATCAGCTGGTGAAAATAAAGGAGCATTACAATTTATACATTGTCTAACCATAATTACAATAGTGTATTTTTTTTTTAGATAAAATATTTCAAAAAATATTAAATAGGATAAATAGAAAAAATATATTCTTTGAGATAAATAAGATAAGTGTAATCTTTTTGATATTTAGAAAAAATGTATTATTTTGAAAATAATTTAATAGAATAAATAGAATAAATATATTAATTCAAAAAAGATTTATTGAGATAATTAGAATAAATATATTACTTTGGAAATATAAAAAGAGTATATTATTTCGAAAAATATTTTTTATTTTTTATTTATATTTGTGGGATAAAAAAAAATATGCCTCAAATCTATACCTTAAATAATATAGGCAATAGTGATAGTAGAATACTTGGAAGCTCTCCATCTAATCAATATTCGTCTAGTCATTTAGAGCTTGAAGAACAGCTAAAAAAAGAGCATGAAATTTTTATAAGATTAGCCAAACAGCTTATAACTAAATATTATACCTTAGATAAAGAAAATAAGTGTATTCAAAATGATCTAGATCACTTGTATGAAAAAAATAAGCATATGCAAAATGATCTAGATCACTTATATGAAGAAAATGATCGTATGCAAATTTTTATAAATCAAATTATTCCACTAACCAAGCAACTAAATGGTATGAATAATAAGCTTATATCCCAAATTACTTGCGAACGAAAGTCTTATACTAATCTTAACACCAAACAGTTAAAAGAAATAAAATCGCTAAAGTTTGAGATTAATTTAAAGGATTCTGAAATTGTCTCTCTTGAGGCTAGAATAAATGAATTAGAGGCTAAGTTAGAACAAACAGCACAAAAAGCTTTATTAAAGGATAATGATACTACCCAGTTACTTAACAATTCCTCTTTTGAGATTAGATTGAAAGAATTGAAAAACGAACTAGAGAAAGTTACACATAATTTATCATTTAAGGATAAATTAATTTTCTGCCTCAGGTCCAGGGTAAGTAATCTGGAAAATAAATTAGAACAGATTCTTCTAAAATCATATCAATCAACTAATGATTCAAAAACAGGTAGCGATGCTATAGAAGAGGTATCCAGTTTCTCTAAGACCCCCTCTTTGTCTTCACACTACTTAGAGCTTGAGCCTGATGAAAGTAAAGTAAAAGATGTAGTAGAGCCCCCGATAGACTATACCTGCAATAAGCAGAAAGAGAAACTCAATAATATTCAAGCCTTATCTATTGTTACGTTAGGGGTCAGCAATACTTTAGTTAATGATCAGTATATAATTCTACCTATATTCAAGCTTGTTATTTTAGCCTTAGTGATAATATTAATTATATGGTATATATGCAGGCAAATTTTTCGTTCAATCAAAAAGAAAGAAATTTTTTATCCAGTCTATAGAAATCAAAGTTATAGTTTCCTGAACTGTCATGCAAAAGAACCAAAAGACAACTAGACTGCCTCTTATGAAACTTTACCTTATGAATATGGATGAGGCCACAAAGCATGAATCATCTAAAAATGTTGGATATCCAGCAATGACATAGCCTTTTAGCAAGATAGTCAGCGGAAGAAGTGGTACAGATAAGACCAATTTACTAGCAAATTTGTTCTTAGGAGATAAGAGTGAGCATATATACAAAGGATGGAAAGAGGGAACAAGATATATTAGATGTGATGATTTGATAGTATGTGGTTACCATCCTAATGAACCAAAATGGGCATTTGTAAGATATATGTATGGTGTAATTTCAAAAGATCCAAGAGCATCATATTATGAGAATATTCGGTTTAGTTATATTTCTCCTGAAAGAATTTCAAACATGAAATCATTCTCACCAGAAAGGAGCACTGTTATTATTTTTTAGGATTTGTGTATTGCCCCAGAGTATATACAAAATTAAATTATCCCTTTCTTTACTTACAGGCACCACAGGAACATTTCACCTATTTATGTAACTCAACGTTATCATAAAGTTCCTATTATTATTCGAGAAAATGTTTCCTATTTAGTGATATTTAATGGCAGTAGTAGTGCTCACGATATCTCCAAAATTGTTGAACGATATACTGATGATATAAAGTGTGCATCTATGGTTATTAATAGCTACCTCTGTAAAGATGAGTTTGTTGTATTTGATCTCAGTAGGCTGGAGGATAATCTTTTTGCCATTCGACTAAGGTTTGACACACCATTGAACCTACAAAAAGAGATAGATGCAAGACAAAAGTGCAAAGAAAAAAGCAATCTAGCTAATTAATAATTTCAAAGACAACTCAACCATTTTTCTAATGCTATTCTTGAGATTACAATTGGAAAATAAAATTTATATATTAATATTTACTTGCAATATATACAAGAAAGTGTCGATGTGAAATAAAAATCTATGAAGTGTATAATAATAATTACTTATATTTTTTTTTGTTTTTTGGCTACAAATTTGAATTGTGATATTCCTTAATATAGCTTGATAAAGAATTGCTAAAAATGATATAAATTGCTAAAAAATGCTATAAATTGTTAAAACACTGATTTGTTAATAAATATGACCAATCCAATTACTGATGAGATTTATAATAAATCTATACCCAAACCTGTTAATCTCCATCTAGGATATGATTTGGGTCATGTAATAAAGGATTTAGCAAAAGATAATAGTTATAACTATAATCATGTTGAAATATGTGCAAACTAGAAAAAAAATACGACGATTTAGCTATTATTAGACCCCATGAAACACCTCAACAATAGGCTATTTGTATATATAAAAGATGATTTGTAAGAATTATGTTCTAGAGAAAGACCTAGTATCTTCCATGTATACTGCCTTTTTGGTTTATTTAGACAAGGAAGTATTAGAACATATCTTGAAAATCACAGACCAAAAATAGAGCATATCAGCTATCGAAGACCTAAAGTTTATAAAAGTCAGATAGCTATATACTTCAAATGCTGGAGATTAGTAAAAATTACTGAAGTAAAGCCAAAAAAGGAACATTGGGAAGGATGGCGCCGATATGGATATAAGATTAAATCCAAGGACTTGATGCAATATCATTGGAATAATGAATACTTTAATACCAAAATCCAAAATAAGTCAAGTTTATTGTCTTCTCCTCTATTGCCACCAAAACCTGTTATATTAATAGGTGGTCTTTCAAGATACATATATAAACATAATGCAAGTGCACCCAAAATTAAAAATCTCTGGAATAATCAATCAAATATGTCTAACATTTCTAGTAGAACTAGTTTAAACAACTTTGCTGATGTATATTTCAATTCTGTGTAAAAAAATACAAAGGAAATAGACTTAATATCTTTCGATTAAATATTAACTAAATTTATTTTTAATAGTTGTCCACTATTTTCCTAATGCCATTCTTGAGATCATACTACTACCTTGTGATTTTATTGCTCGAAGTCAATTGTCATAGTTGATTAGAAAAAATAAATAAAAATAAATAAAAAATTGATTAAAATTATATTTTATGTGAACAGAATAAGTTTATTTTGTCTATTTTTTTTGCGGACTAAAAAACTACCAAAGTCAAAGTACTGAGCCACCAGCAATAGTGATTATGCTCTTTCGAATACACAATATACAAAGTCAGAGGCCCTATCGTCAAGAGGTGAAAACTCAAGCAAAATTTTTTGCATAACTATGCATACCTGTAAACAAGTAACCTGGGTGGTCATTCTATCAACACAAAAGCAATTCAACATAAATTAACAAATTTGAAATGCAATATATACCTGGTTCAGGTCGAATATAACTTTACTAATCAATGACAGTATAGTAAGGTTAAATTTTGTTTATAATTTTTTCTGGTGGATACATTCAATCACTCTCTGTAGTGTGGTTCAGTTGTTTAGAAAGTTTGTATCACCTTCTTCCTCACACATGCCCTATATTGAGGATGACAATCATGCTCAGGGCAAAAGAAAAAAAAAGTATATCTATTTATTTAGATTTTGAGGTGAATACATTCAAACTATTTCTTATCTTGTAGTTCGGTGGACTAATTATGAGAAGCTCATTTGGTCTTTTTCTTCTTACAACAGGACAATGATAGTTGACAATCGCGTCCTCAAAAAGTGTTTTATAATATGTATATAAAAAAAAATAAATTTTAGAGAAGTAATAGTCAGATCCTAGGCCTGCCCCAAAAAGCTATAACTACACCTAAGAAAACTATATTATTAAGAGCGACTAGATTGTGTATTTTTTGTGAAACAAATAACTACCTTCACCAAAGTACTGAACTACCAAATAGTAATTATGAGTATGTTAAACCTCACAACACACTTAGTCAGAGGCCCTATCACTTTAATAGTTAAAATAAAATTTTTTGCATAACTAAGTATACTTGTAACAAATAGTTATAGCAATTGTCTTATCGACACAAAAATAATCTAATCTAAAAGGATTTAAAATTTTTCAAGAGAATAAAAAAAGGTTTATATAAGGGCAATCTAAACTATTATTATATGGCTCACATTAATATTAGACTGAGTAAAGAGATGAAAACAAATATATAGTATTTTTTTAACAAGTATTATGGCGTATAAATTATACTTCATGTTTTTAAGAGGCTTATTTACCCAATAATAAACATTTGTACAATATAACCAAATAATGTTTCAACAATAATTTTCTGAATTTTTGATCGATTTACAAGTTTTATATAAT